TTTGGAGATTTCCAAAACCATTTTCAATTATTTGACGATGCACTCTTACAAATACTGAGCGAGTTGGATGTAGTCTGTTTGGAAATCTTCGTGCGTATTCTCTGGCTGCTTCTGCTGCGTTTCCATTTACAAAGCCATACACAAAATGAACATTCGCTAACTCTTGATTGGAGAATAAAAATGGCATTTTTATAAAACTCACCAAAAAAAAAAAAACAGGTAAAATAAACTAAATTTCGTGCATTCACAATTGCAAAAAAACGTTTCAGGTTTCAACAGACAACGAAACTAACTGTCAACCAATTGACGTTTAACCTTATTCTGCTTTCAATTTCAAAAATATTTGCAGGCACAGCCTACTTCTAAAAATTACCGAGATACTGACTTTTTAACGTTATTTTATCATAAATAATTAAAAATGCATCGAACCTTAAAAATCGAAATATCTCAAAAACGGCTAACTCTAACGAAAATTCACAAGAGAGGTTTTTTATGTTGAAAAGTGCGAAGAATCAGCTTTTTTATTCAAAAAGCAAAAAATTGCACTAAGAAAAAATTTTCGGTCATTTTAATACAGTACAGGTACAGTAGAGAGCGCCCTCTAGCGGCTACAGTAAAACTATGCCCATGGTTCGTTTTGTCGTACCAAAAAAACCCTTGTATACCAATTTCACTGTTATACATCAAATATTGTTCGAAATATTTATAAAAAACAGTTTTAGAAAGTAAATTGAAACACCCTGTATTTCGGAAGCCACGCATTTTTCGGCCCATGTTTATATAGACTTTATGCATTAATTTTAAAAGTTCTATCGAACCTTAAAGTTATGCAACAATAAACTGAAACACCCTGTATATAAAATCGCAAGTTCTTTTATCATTTAACTTTCTCGTTGTTACCGGGATCAGAAGCTTCTCGATGATAGACCGTCTTTGATTAATACTAAAGACGGTACATTTACAATCCCCGACCCCCTACAACCCCCAACCCAAAAGGTTCATTTTTTTTTGAAAATGATCAGGAGCCTCAGAAACGTCATAAAACGAAGTTCAAGACAGTTTTATTTTTTCTTATCTTTGTCCCTAGTTACCTATTTTTTCCATCCTTGGCATGTGTGAATGTTCCAAAAAACATAAAATGTCAATTTCGAAAATTTTCCTCGCCAGTTTTGGCATAGAAAGTAAAATGCATGCAAATAATCCATTTCAGCTATTCGAAATAATGGGTGATTTTTTTGCTAGTATCTGTTTGGCAACACTGTTTTTGACAGATGACGCGTGAATCGTGTCTTGTGTCATTGTCAAACTCGTTCCGTTTGGTCTATAATTTAACCATGAATCGACTTACGAACGAACAACGCTTGCAAATTATTGAATTTTACTATCAAAATTCATGCTCGGTTAAGAGAGTGCATCGAGCACTGCTTCCAATTTATGGGCAATTTGGTCGGCCTACTGAGGGAGCTATTCGGAAGCTTTTGACTAAATTTCGAACCCAGTTTACATTATTGGACATTAAACCACCAACACGCAGACGTAGAGTGAGGACTGAAGAAAATATTGCGGCTGTATCCGCCAGTGTTAGTGATGACCGTGAAATGTTGATTCGCCGCCGTTCGCAGCAATTGGGCCACTACGTGGAAAATTTTGCGACAGGATTTGGGTGTAAAACCTTATAAGATACAGCTGGTGCAAGAATTGAAGCCACACGACCTCCCACAACGTTTCCAATTTGGTGAATGGGCGCTGGCAAAGTTGGAGGAAGATCCACATTTTTATCGAAAAATTGTGTTCAGCGACGAAGCTCATTTCTGGTTGAATGGGTACGTTAACAAGCAAACTTGCCGCATCTGGAGTGAAGACCAGCCAGAAGCATTGCAAGAGCTACCAATACATCCCGAAAAAATCACTGTTTGGTGTGGATTATGGGCCGGTGGCATCATCGGGCCGTACTTCTTCAAAGACGACAATGGCCGGAACGTAACTGTGAATGGCGAGCGCTACCGTGCGATGATAACAAACTTTTTTTTGCCCAAAATGGAAGAGCTGGACTTGGCTGACATGTGGTTTCAACAAGACGGTGTCACATGCCACACCGCACACGAAACAATGGCCCTATTGAGAGGCGAGTTCGGTGAACAGTTTATCTCACGTTTGGGGCCCGTCAATTGGCCGCCTAGATCGTGTGATTTAACGCCGTTGGACTATTTCTTGTGGGGCCATGTTAAGGCTAATATCTACAAGGATAAACCAGCAACGACTGACGCACTGGAAGCCAATATTGAAGCATTTATTTGTGAGATACCGGCCGATATGTTGGAGAGAGTGTGCCAAAATTGGACCTTGCGCATGGGCCATCTAAAGCGGAGCCGCGGCCAACATTTACATGAAATAATCTTTAAATATTAAATTATATCGACCGTTCTATCGAGTCGAATAAATATTTAATCGTTTTTTCAAATTTTTTGTGTTTTTTTTTGAAAATCAAATCCTATACCTCTTAAAAAATCACCCGTTACAAGTTTAACTTCAGATTGACACGAATCAAATGAATGGCAATGCTGACCTACAAAAAAGCTTCTAATATTTATTTTTTATGGTAGCCCGATTCCATTTAAGCCGCCTATCAAATTTCAGCACGAGTTCTCTCGGCAGCACCTTGTTACCGCACCTTCGTCCGTGTTTGTCAATTTTTTAAAGGGCAGCCGCCTTGCAGGCATTCCTAAGCAGCTGCCCACCGGGCACGGACCCCGCCGGGAGGATCACGCAAAAAATTCACCTTTTTATTGAGTTATTAGCCTTATAGGGATGATCTGGCCCAAAAACGTCAGTTGTATTGAAAAGCAGCGTGCTAGAGGCATGTCAGCGGTAAACAAGACTATTTCATGAGTAAAAGATTATTCTGCATACACATAGCTTACAAAGCATACTACCTACTATACAGGGTGGCTCATCCATGTGTATTTGACGTGTCGGTGGATGAAGGTGAAAGTGTATGAAATTGGAAAATCATATACATGGTAATTATACAGGGTGGCCCATAACGAATATACTAAAAAGCGGTCTTATGCTGTACCCGTGATAATAATGATATTGAGTCTTATCTCAGTACAATGTCGCTCGTTGATGAGACATACATGGCGCCGTAGTTTAATTTTCGAAATAGTTATTTTTAATCTCAATATTAATATTTCCCTCATGTATAAAAAATGCCATAAGAGGTGTGAAATGATCGCAAAATTACAGGGAAAATTTCCCGTTACCTAGATAATGGGAAATTTTCATAAGTAACATCATAAGGGCATCTAATTTTTCCGAAAAAAAAAATGAAAAAAGACGTTGCTAAGTAATATTTTGACAAGAAGCATGAGTGGTGGTGGCAACACCTGCACGAATGTTTTTTCGATTCTTTCACAGGAAAAAATTAAATGCCCGAAGGGTATTTGACAAGACTATTTCATGAGTAAAAGATTATTCTGCATACACATAGCTTACAAAACATACTACCTACTATACAGGGTGGCTCATCCATGTGTGGACGGAATATTACTCATAAACAAATACATTTTGGGAAAATCTATTTATGGAATGTTATACATTACATTTGAGGGCACATCCCTAAAATATTGGCGATTATACAGGGTGTCCCAATTTTGACCTACATATCAAAGTTGTGATTTTTTAAATGGAATGCCTCAAATTTTATTACATATTTGGATAAACCAATTGAAAAGAAGAAAATCGATATCACATACTATGGAGTTTTGTTAATTAGCTACTGAGATATAAAGTGTTTTGTCTAGAAAAACCCCCCACCTCAGTCAGACCTTTTGAAATTGTGTATCAAAAAAAAAAACTTACACACCTTAGCTTTTATCTTATTTGTTACTTTTTTGAGTTTCAATTTTTGCTCTTACAGGGTGGTCAAAAACGCAAATTGTAGTTTTTCTCAAAAATTTCAAATGTATCACCCTGTAAATTTGTGCAAGTTTGGATTCCATTTTTTATTGTCTTTTTTTTGATACTAGACATAAAAGGGTTTTTACGGCTATTTTTTCGGTTATCAGCACGTCTTTTATGGAACGGCTGTTTGTAGCTAATCAACAATTTATTTGTTTCCAAAGATGATGCGATATTTTAGGGAATTACGCCGTTCCATAAAAGACGTGCTAATTACCGAAAAAATAGCCGTAAAAACCCTTATGTGTCTAGTATAAAAAAAAACAATAAAAAATTAAATCCAAACTTGCACAAATATACAGGGTGATGCATTTAAAATTTTCGAGAAAAACTACAATTTGCGTTTTTGACCACCCTGTGTGAGCAAAAATGAAAATTCCAAAAAGTAACAAATAAGATAAAAGCTAAGGTGTGCAAGTTTATTTTGATACAAAATTCAGCACTCCAAATTTCAAAATGGCTGACTGAGGGGTTGCCGAAGTGGAGGGTTCTTCTAGACGAAACATCTTATATCTCAGTAGGCAATTACCAAAACCCCATAGTATATACGTATAATAATAAATATATAAAATAATGGTAATGTAATTTTTGCTGACAACAGCTGTCAAGTTTTGCCGCGGGTAAACACGAAAAAACTGCTGACAGGTGCTGTGATATAATTTTTCCATCTACAAACCATTTGTAATTCACAATTTCGCGTTTGTGATTGGTAGAAATTAAGACGACGGAAACAGTAAGTGAAAATTGCCCAGTAGGTATCGAAAATTCCGTATCTACAGTTACGATTGATGAAATGTGCATTTGAGCTAGGGAAAAATGTGGGATGCTGCCCTCTTTCCCCAGCCTCCCCTGGGTAACCTCTTGTTTTATAACGATCTGTTTTTCCATACACTCACTTTTAAAAACATTCACGGTACTGTTTAATAACCATTTCCGCCACATATTTGATCGAGTAGGGTTTTTGCATCGAGCTCTTACTTTATATCCCTTGTCACAAAAGGGCCCATCAGACTTCCGTCAAACCAATTATCTCAAAAACAATGCCAGATGTTACGGCTGCGGTGCCTAGGCGCGCCGAGGTGCCAGCACACTCCGAAAAATCTATAATTATAGAGACGGAAAAGACTTTAGAGCACGTGCTGCCGCCAATCGTGTCCCTTTTTCCATTTCTTCCCGAAATATACACCGAAAAAGGTGTGTAATAGCTTTCCTAACGTGGTTTGTAAACTATCCCTAAATGACTGCCGATGATTGATTGTGTACTGTTCTACTAATTATTTTTTGGGCGGGTTTGTGGAATCGATTTTTTTGTCTGTGGTACGCGGTGAGGGATGATCGGTAATTTTTGGAAAACGAAATTAGTTCGATTTGATCTAGATCTTCGTTGTCATATGTTTTGGTTTCCAAGGCGTGGAATTTTCAAAATAAACAGGGTGTTTCAGTTTATTGTTGCATAACTTTAAGATTCGATAGAACTTTTAAAATTAAAACATAAAGTCTATATAAACATGGGTCAAAAAATGCGTGGCTTCCGAAATACAGGGTGTTTAAATTTACTTTCTAAAATAGTTTTTTTTTAAATATTTCGAACAATATTTGATGTATAATAGTGAAAATTGGTATACAAGGGTTTTTTGGTACGACAAAACGAACCATGGGCATAGTTTTACTATAGCCGTTAGAGGGCGCTCTCTACTGTACCTGTAGTGTATCAAAATGACCGAAAATTTTTTCTATCTGCAATTTTTTGCTTTTTGAATAAAAGAAAAAAGATTCTTCGCACTTTTCAACATAAAAAAGCTCTCTAGTGAATTTACGTTATAGTTAGCCGTTTTTGAGATATTTCGATTTTTAAGGTTCGATGCATTTATAATTATTTATGATAAAATAACGTTTAAATCAGTATCTCGATAATTTTTAGAAGTAGGCTGTGCCTGCAAATATTTTTGAAATTGAAAGCAGAATAAGGTTAAACGTCAAGTAGTTGACAGTTAGTTTTGTTGTCTGTTGAAACCTGAAACGTTTTTTTGCAATTGTGAATGCACGAAATTTAGTTTCTTTTACCTGTTTTTTTTGTAAGTTTTATAAAAATGCCCCGTATGATTCTGCGTGAGTCTGATAGAGATCCGACCACAAGTGTTAGGAGAGTTTCTGGTGCCTTGGGAATTTCAGCAAGCCATGTTCACCTTTTGCCTGCAAGGTTAAATGCTGCGACCTTCTTGGAATTTTTAAAGGCTGAACATGCAAATATGTGGGATGATGATATGTTAGATTTAAGAAGATTGGCCTGGTTCCAGCTTGATGGTTGTCCAGCTCATTATTCGAGAATAGTTAGAAACTGGCTGGACGAAAATTGTCCAGAAAGATGGATCCGCCGTGAAGGACCAGTCGCCTGGCCTCCACGATCCCCTGACCTAAATCCATTAGATTTCTTTGTGTGGGGATTTCTAAAAGAAAAAGTGTACCAGACTCCCGTAACCACAAGAGATATGCTAATAGACAGAATCAGGAATGCATGTGATGAAGTAAGGCCTTATTTGAATAGTGCTATACCACGTTTGATCATTCGTAGAGGTGAATTGTGTATTGAACAATTGGGTTTACATTTCGAGCAACTACTTTAGATTTTGTATGTTTGTCCTAACTATCCAATAGCATTTTAGTTGTAAATAATTAATTTAATTTGTTAAAAATAATATTGGAAAACAAATTAATATTCGGTTTTTTGTGTTTATTTGGAGTTAGGAATTATTGCTGTGTTTAAAAACACAATCTCAACGATCATCTTAATTACTTGTAATGCCCAAATCTAAAATGTAAAAAAAATATTATTTTCACATAAATAATTAAAAATGCATCGAACCTTAAAAATCTAAATATCTCAAAAACGGCTAACTATAACGAAAACTCATAGGAGAGCTTTTTTATGTTGAAAAGTGCGAAGAATCAGTTTTTATTATTCAAAAAGCAAAAAATTGCACTAAGAAAACATTTTCGGTTATTTTAATACACTACAGGTACAGTAGAGAGCGCCCTCTAGCGGCTACAGTAAGACTATGCCCATAGTTCGTTTTTTCGTACCAAAAAACCCTTGTATACCAATTTTTACTGTTATACATCAAATATCGTTCGAAATATTTAAAAAAAACTATATTAGAAAGTAAATTTAAACACCCTATATTTCGGAAGCCACGCATTCTTCGACCCATGTTTATATAGACTTTATGCATTAATTTTAAGTTCTATCGAATCTTAAAGTTATGCAACAATAAACTGAAACACCCTGTATACTCAGATAGATCGTCAGAATTTAAACGAAAATTGAATATATCGGCGTAACGCTTGTAATACAGCGATATTTTACCATTCACTATTTTAGTGTTGAATCTGATATCACAACTTCTGTCACCCACGCCTACTGGCGGGGAAGTATTGTAATCGCGAAAAATTTTGAAAATGAGATATGCTTTTGGATGTTATATGACATGTACATCACGAAAAACCGTATCACTCATTTCCGTTGGTCTCTCTGCCTGTCGATATGGACGCAAATGCTTTGCTAAAATTCCAGTGATAGCGGAGCTACTCGTATGAACAAAAACAGGAGAAAATAAATACCTCTCAAACTTCGCTTTTTGATGTTACAGAAATTTTTTCATAGAAGTTGAAAATCGGTGATTGGGGGAACCCTTCGGACCTCATTAATTTTACGCATCTATCCTAAAACAGGAATATTTCTAGATGCTATACGCTTCTGTCGTTCGCCACACATCCCACGAGGGTAATGCTTGCAATCTATTCTCGATCGTACACATAGGTACATACCTTTATACCTATGCTATGTACAATCGAGCAAAATAGAAATCTACTATTGGTTCCTTAGTCTATTTTAATTTACCTTGTACCTTGCTCAGTATTATCCGCCTCACTATTGGTTGAACATCAACCCATTTTCCTTCGCGTATATGCTTGCCAAAATAGTCAGCAGTGAGGCTCTCGCCGAGCGTAAGTTCCAGCTGTGTCTGGTAGTTAACCCACCTACCGTATTGGAGTAGATGATTAGGAGTACATACTCTTCTCTCAGCGTACTCTCTCTTTCCTACCATCTTCAGGTAGCTGTCAAAACAACCATGTCCTATGAGGAACTGTACGGTATAGTAATCTATCCGCACAGCTCCCTCGCCAATTCAATTTTTTATATATCTAGAATCAGCCTTCTGGCCCATGTACCATGGCCATTTGTATCCCATCTCTCCTGCCAACTGGCAAAAAGTGCCTCCCTTTCGTCGCTTGTAGCTTTGACTCCCTTTTTATAGAGCGCACATCTCTCCGCAGCTAGCAAATCAATTGGCTGGATACCAGCTACCACCAGCAGTGCATTTGTCGACACCGTTCTGTAAGTGCACACCACTCGCAGTACTGCTTTTCGCTGGCTCCTCAATATTAGCTGTCTATATTTCTCTTTTCTCAAGGCCTTGTTACATATAACATAATAGAGTTTGCCTCCCAAGAAAAAATATTGCCCCTCTCACTACTAGACTCCGCCAGGTGGCACTAGCCGTATAAATGATGCAACAACGCTATTTACCTTATCACTGGTGCGCCTTATATGTTCAGTCATTCGCAGATCTTTGTCAAGTCACACACCCTGATGCTTAATTGCATTTTGGCTTCTCAAGAGACAATTTCAAGCCATTTTCTTCCATTCATATGGTAATTCTCGAAATTATGTATGCAGAGTCCTTCACGTGTATCTCTCTCCTTGCTAGTCACTATCATCGCAAGATGGTCGGCATATCCGATCAAGCGAATTTCCGGCAGCATCTGTAACCGCAGAACCTCATTGTAGAATACGTTACAAAGTAACGGCCCTAGGACGGAGCCCTGCGGCAGCATGGTTACCTTCATCGTCTTTTTCCCTACCATAAGATGGTCGATACTTAGAGCAGGAAACAAACTAGCGTTAGCGTTTTGGAGTATGGACTAATTGCATGGGGCTGTTTGGCTGACTTGATCCATTTAATTTTTCTGTTATACATATTTGTAGCTAGTTCAGACGGACTAACTTGTGCCGACATTATCGTTTATGAACTGATGACAACGTTGCATGGGAAGTACTTGACGCCATGTTTTCAATATTCTATGTCTTAACTCAGTTCCCATGAGGATCTCAAATATAATTCCAGATAATTCTGCTAATCCAATTTGCCGAATCCTTCCGAATACGCATAAGCTAATAGAAAAGCACCTGCTCTGCCAGTCTATATAAAAAATGGCACGTGTTATCCCCTATCTATACATGCTCTTTCCGCGGAGAACCATTTTTTATACCAACCCATAGGGGGCCTGAAAGGGCGGAACTACCTGTTCCACGGGTTTTTTGTGCGGATCCGAGTTTGAATGGGTTAGGGCGCGGTGCGATTCAGATGAGGGGAGATTTTTTAGCTTTTTACGGTGCACGCCCCAAAACGGTGCCTATAAAATGGCGGAGCGACTTCAGAAACAGATGTAACAGTTATGAATATTATTGATCTAAGGGAATTTGGGGATTGATAATAAAAATTTTCGTAGCATTTTAGGAAATGCATGGCCGACGTGCTTTTGAAAACCTAGCAGAACTGCTGATCATTCTTAGACTGACTACAGCCACGAGGATTTGGGTAGATTTTAATATTTTGACATGAACAGCTGATCAAGTAACGTAACTTCGTTTTGTTAAAATCCATCCAATAAACAGTAAAAAGAAAAGAGTACTTTCTTGTGCCGCCATAGTGCGGAATGAATTAACCCTTAAGGCTAGAACTCATTGCCGTTCAGGATCGGTTTTCCGATCGCAAGTTACCTTTCAAGTTGGAAGTTTTTTTGCACCGAAGCAGCCGCGCAGTCAGAAGCCTAAATTCCAGGGCACCGCGACTGCTATGAGGAGCTTAAAGATACTTTGTTAATCCGATTTAGAGAAGAGCTGATCAGTCGGACAGCTCTTATCTGCACAGTAGTTCACAGGATGCAAGTTTGCATAACAGGGCAGCATCAGACTGGATGAGTTTACTCTACGGTTGCGTGACGGAATCTAGGAGGTTCCGCGTGGATAATTGGTGTTGGAAACCATACTGCCTGTGCCTAATGAAAGTGTGACATTCGAGGTAGTTCAGAAGCTCCCGATTTATGCACACCTCCATTACCTTACTTATAGC